AAAAAAAAGATATAATCTTTTCATCAGCCCACACGATTATATCCGTAAAACAGAGTGCTTTCTGATATTGTATCAATAAAGCCAAAGCAAAATATATTAATACAATAGTGTGAGGAGCACTCAAAAAAATTTTTATAAAAATTACAACAAATAAAATAGAACACAAAAAGTAAAAATAAGTAAAAAATAACATGTAAAAACAGAAAATAAAATAAAATAATAAGAAAAAACAGTAAAAATGGACTATAAAGCGATTAGCGAAATCAGATCAACTTACATGAACGGAAATTTTTCAAGAATGATTTAAAAATGTTGTTTTTACTTATTATTTCCCCCTTTTTTCATATGTCTTTAATTTTTCTTTGTTTTATTCTTCATTTTGAACTTATCTAATGGGTTCTGTTTACTTGCAGCTGAAGCGCAATAAATGAAACTTATTGTTTTTCTTAACTTTCTTCGTGTTTTCTTGTATTTATTTATTTATTATTATATATATATTAGATTGTGTGTTACAACTGTTTTACAGGCCGCTCTTGTTTGTGGCCATTCTATATATTATATATGCTAGAGCAAAGGTTAGTTATTTTCTTGAACTGTGAAACGATGAATGTTCGACCCATGGCTGACGGAACCTTAGGACATATTGAATGAATTTCATTCTTAATTTTGATCACAGTACAGATGGATGAGTTCACAAAGCACAATACTGTGTCATCAAAAGAGCTATAAAGTTTTCAAAAAAAGTTCCATATTCAGGAGACTACCAAAAGGAAAAGAAAGCTTTAAATCTATTTGTATCATACGATTACCGACAAGACTTAAAATATTCGAATTCAGAAAAGAAAAATTCATATTTTTACAAGTTTGAAGATAATCCATTTTTCTCAATGCAAATTGTTCAAATTCTTAATGATTAGAATAAAAGTTTTTGCTCAAATATTATTTAGATACATTAACATCTTCTGAAAGCGCTATTTATTAACATCTTTTATAAAGTTAATAAAATTTTAAAAAGAAAAAATTATAAACAAATGCAGATTTCAATTTAAAAAAATGCAAAAAAACTTACCAGTTTATTTTTGTATATTGAACACAAGTTTAAAGGTTTGAAAATAAAATAGTTTAAAGCAATCGAAATATTACAAAACAATTTTTTTATGAAAAAAAAAACTTTTTAAGTTGAAAAAAATAATGTTGACTAATTATCCATGTCTTTTTTCAATGATTCTCAGCTTTAATAGGTCTCAGATTTCTGCTTTGATGTCATCTTTAAACTGATATACTATATGCGAAGTCTTTAGCATAAAATCATTCCTACTCTGCTCTGTAAACTTTTCTTGAGGCATCAGTCACGATTTTCATACAAAGCTCACCTAAGTATTCAGTAAAATTTTTAAATATATTGTCTCAACTGCTAATTCCTGTGCCACTATCAGATCAATGAAGCAAAAACTTCCTCATAACTTTCCTTTACTTTGTATTAATAAAAAAAGTATAGAAATTTATGACTTCCATTTGAGTCTGTTCAAATAGTACGTAAGAACTTGAAAGAATGGGATATCAAGGGAGAATTTGAACACTTTTGTTTTAAGCACAGCTTTATTTAGGTCAGGGATGGCGAACCAATGGCACGCGCGCCATTTATGGCACGTGACACAATATTCTGGGCACCCCACCGATCACAAAGTTCACTATGAAGCATATTAACAATTAAATTTTTTAAAAAGTAAGTAAAATAAACAATTATAAACAAAAACATTTACAATTAATGCCAATGTTATTGTTTTATAACTATAAAAAACAAGCTAACAATAAATAACTAGCAAAAAAACAAAAATTGCCAGTCCTGCTTAAACTAGCATCTTACAACCTAATATAAGTTATTAGTCCAAATCTGAAACAACAGAAGTCACACTAATATTACTTTAAGTTAAATTACGCGTATAACTGAGACATTGCAAAAAGTTTTTTTTTTCGTAGTAAATAAAGAGTTTTGAGTTGATAGTATTTAGTATTATTATTTTCCCAGTAATCACGAAGTCAAAATTATTTGACGGCACGTCTATGACCTCATTAAACAGTTTTTTGATAAAATGGCACGTTGGTGCATAAAGGTTCATCACCCCTGATTTAGGTCATGTGAGATGCATTTTAAAACAGCTTTCTAATTTTAGAGTAGATGGCGCAATCGCTAAGAAACTGATAATAAAAAACTTATCACGAACAGAAGTTCAATTAAATTCAATATTCTATCTTCTTTACAATACAGGGTGTTTATAAAGTCCCTGATCCATTTTGATGTTTAATAACTCATAAAATAATAAGGATAGATTAAAATTAATAACATAAATGGTTAGATAGACTCAAAAAGTTTCATGACCCTTGTCAATGAACTTCCACGCGTATTCCACTCCAAAATAAAATTAAAATTAAAGAAAAATTAATATTTTCGCGATTGCCTTTTGTTGTCGATTTGATTATTTCAAATTAGTGTCACATGTCAGTTTAAAAGTTTTGTGTACAGTGAGTGAAAAAATCAAGATTTTGGAAGTGAGTACAAAAAAATATAAAAATAAAAATAATATTTTTAAAAACCACGTTTTTGTAGTGGAGAATAATAATTAAACAACAAAAATTTGAAAAACGGAAATCGTAGGGCGCATGAAATACATAATCGCATGAAATACATAGTATATATACACATACATATACACATTTTCTTAGTCATACACATGCGCAACCACATCCACATATACACCCACATACACAAACATATTCCACATCCACATTAAGATACAATTGCAGATATGCATACACATATTCTCATAAGCACACATACTGTTACTGTTATGTATTTCATGCTCCCCACGTTTTTCGTATTTCAAATTTTTATTTTTTAATTATTATTCTCCACTACAAAAACGTGGTTTTTAGAAATATTATTTTTATTTTTACTTTAAATTTTGCATTTAAGACATTGTCGATGACTATATTTTCGTTTGTAGTAATGTCTGCAGCGTTTTCACTGTAATTTTCATATCGCATAAAATTGCAACCAGGCTTAGAAAATGTAAAATGAATGAAGAAAATAGTGGTGCATATTGGTAAAGAATTAAGCTTATTACTGAGTGTTTTAGTTTTCATTTTCTTTTTTTAACATTCATTATAAACTTCGAAGTCTTTGCTAAAGACATTTTATGTCTATTGTTACTTGTTTACTAGTAAATTAAAACTAACTAAACTCAGTGGCGCGACAGCCTATAGAGGGCCAAGGCCTACTGTGCCCATCTCAGTTTTCTTGACCTTGAACTCTGGGATGCAAGAGCAGATGTTCCAATCAGATGGTCAGCCGAACGCAGGGGATAGAGCGTTCACCTTCCAATGAGGTGAACCGGGTTCGAATCCATCAATGGCTGATCGATACGAATCCGCATCCTGGTTGCACCGACCACAGTGTTGCAGTGAAATATCCTCAGTGATAGACGGATCATGGGTTAGATTGCCCTCGCCGTCAGGCTACATAATACTTCATCCAGGAGTTCCCTTGTCTTCTGGATTGGGTTCGAAATTACAAGGCTACGGAGTTGAACATTAGGATTCGTAAATCCAAAAATTGGGTCTGCTGTTCAGCGACGTTTATAAAATAAAATAAAATATAAACTACAAAATTATACTACAGTAAATCGCTTATTCAACAAGGAGCTGATAAAACTGAAAAATACTTGTTAAAATCTGGTCTCTAGCTGAATCCAAAGTAAAAAATTTAACGAAAAATAAATAAATTTAAAAAAAAATTTAACTTGCCTGAATAGTTTCCAGACAATCTGTATTGAGAAATGTAAACTTTGATTGTTAACTTTACAAAATTTTGTTTCTTTTCAACTTCTATCGTAAAACTGTTAATGCGTAACATATTTTTTAGCAGAAAATCAGATAAACATTTTCTACTTTTATGTGTTGTGAGTTAATGGCATTCATGCATATTTCAAGAATGGAAGCCTTTTATTTGAACCAGCATGTTCTTTTGAGTCCCGTGCTTTTAAACCAAGCACTCAATCAATTACTCTTAAAGCAAGAGACCAATCATGAAATTACCTAAAAACATTTTACACTGAAGAGTTTTTTCATCTTTACTTTGAGTTTGAAATTTAATTTTTAAAAAAAAAATCAGTAATTTAACAATCTCTTCGTTATATCTTTTACTTACAAACATACTTCGTCCAAACTTATTACTCCATCTTGAAGAGACATGGGATTTTATCCGTCTCCTTTAAGGGTTTTTAGATAGATTTGGGATCTACAATTTTAAAGTAACGCCGAGCACCTTTTTTACGAAGGTGAGGTTTGGTCTTTATCATTATTTATCTGAAAAACGCATGTGCTTCCTTTTTATTGCAGTTTAGTCATAGCTTTTATTGCAGTTTAGTCATAGTTTTTATTACAGTTTAGTCTATTTGATCTTTCAAAGAAAATTCAATAAAACTTGAAATATTTGATTTTAGCAATTTTATTAGTCTGAAAAAGAGAATTTTTTTTCTTTTATTACACAGTGACAGTTTTGTTCGCTGCAGTTTATCCTCTTCCATTGTTCGTGCCAGTAAACTCAAAATCTTAACATCAATGTAACTTAAGATCATCATCAAATGCGATATTCTGATTAAATTTATTTTTTAAACTCTGCTGAAACAAGTATGTAACATTTTCTGCAATCATTAGTTGCAATCTTAGGCTGTATTTATTAATTAAAAACGAATTTTTTTAATTTCTAGTGGACTACGAAAGAAAAAAAAGGGAGCGTTTGTGTTATCTTACCGTTCACGCTTCATAGAGATCCTGAATCATTTCCTGATCCTGAAAAGTTTGACCCAGAAAGATTTTTTTCCCGAAAATGCAACAGGAAGACATTCATATGCCTATGTGCCTTTCTCAGCCGGGCCAAGGAACTGTATAGGTAGAGTTAAGAATATATACGCATGCATAATTAATAAAATAAGTATAAGACGTTCAAACAATAGAATCAGCTTTCCTAACGGTCAGAAAACCTGTTTTAATCTAGGGCGATTCTTTCGTTACGTGTGTTACTTTTACACGACATATTTCAACTTTAACACTTATTATAATAAACTTGTTAGATATTTTTTATGTTTTTCTTAATTTGTTGTTAAATCTATATGTGTTGTAAGTTTTCAAAACGAAGATTGAAGGCGCAAATTAATTTGATGTTGAAAAAAAAAATTTCTGAAATTTTGTTACGTGTGTTACCCTTTATAATGCTAGATATTTGAAACTTTGAATATATTCATTTAATTCTGTGAAGTATAAAGGCAAAAAATTAAGATATTTTCTTTTATAGAGAGATACAATATCGAAGCTGTGTTTAGTGATTTTTAAAAATTTCTTGCAACAGTAAAAACTTCTTTATTTTGGTGAAATTGGTGCGTTACGTGTGTTAACTGAACGTTACGTGTGTTACCCTCTGTGAATATTTCAACTGAGAAGTCATAAATGTTGCACTAAAACATTTATTTATTTTAATTTAGCAGAAGAAAAACAATTTATTTTAGCAAATAAAATAGTTAATGGTCTGGAAAGATGGTTGTAGCCCTTCTTTATACTGGTTTAGAGAGTAAAACATAGCAAATCTTAGGCACATCTATTCCTTCAAAATCATTTCTGTTTGGAAACAAAAATATGCATATTTTCCAATTATTTTATGCAAATATTGCATTTTAAGTTTACAAGCATGTGCATTTGCGTCAATAATGTTCCCGAGATAGAGCATATGTCGTTTTAATTTCAGTTATAGGCGCACTTCTGATCAGGAGGGAACAGAAATTGACTTACTGACTATTTGTGTGCCACAATGTGCATCTATGCATCTTATTCAAGTATCTAACGATACTTATGCATAGATTTTATGCTTTGTATTACCGTTGCCATGTATTGATCTTTTCAATTAATATCTTTATTTCCTTTTGGCTAATATATAATACTGTTGTATTAGGCATGAGTTGATTGGTTAGCTTTGCAAACAACACTGGATAGCAAATAAATTTTTTTGTATAACAACACAATGATATAAATAACTTTGCTTTTTGCTTCGCTTTCAAGATTTTGTACTACACACCTATCCCATAGAAGGAACTTCTGCATGTGATATCGTAAAATATTTCCAAATTAATTTCTTTTTTTATATTTTGATTGACAAAATATGAAATAATTCAACCATATATTTATTTTTAAATTCTTAACTTGACTTATTACTATAGAAGGTTTCTGTTAGCTCATCTTCTGAAGTAGAATCGTTTTTAAACAGTCTTAAAATAAAAGTGTAGACATTGTTTCACCTTTGTCTTTGCCTTAGGAAA